CACCTTTGTCCGGAGAAAGTGGTTCACTACCGCAGCTGCGGAATCATACTCCCCATATGTGGCATGGATTGCAGAGGTGTAGTTTGTCTTCAAAAAAGCTTGGGCCCTGCATTTTTTAGCGTTTCAATGAGGGTCCATTCTAATATGGGGACGAAAAGGAACTGCGTTTCAACCACTTTTCGATGCATTTGCTTATCCAAATTTTTTTCAATGAAGTAAAATGCTCGCAAGATGATGTTTAATCCACATCTGGCTACAAGCGCCTTTTCGCGTGTCTGCCGCGTGGGACAAAGCAGTTTTCCCTATTTTCGAAGAATGCGCATAAATGCTAGGGCGTTTATACGCCAAAAAAAATTGAAGAATGGTCAGAATTCATTGCAGAAGCTAGTAAGGCTTTGCTATACTTGTTTACTTTCAAGATGAAACTCTGAAATTTCATGGAATACTCGCTCATTCACCGTGAGAGTGGGAACAAGGTCCGCAAAAAAAGGAAATATTCTTTGCTTCCACTTAGGTGGTGAAGTTGGATTCGGATCAGATTCTGCTATTATTGAAAGTTACCTTATCACATTAGCTATCTGCGTGCGGAGCTTCAGTTCTATATATCCAAGAATTATCTTTTTTTTCCTAGGAAATCACTTTTGTTTGTCTCCTAGGTAAAATACTCTCAATGACACAAATGCACGGTTTACAGCTACTGTATATTCTACAATGCCTTCATGGACAATATGCAGCTGTTGAAAATTCGAAACGTCTTCAAATTGGTTTTTTACCCATGCCGCATCCCAGCAGTGGGACGCAATGTCCCACGCGGCAAAAAAGGTGCGTCCCAGCAGTGGGACGCAATGTCGCCAACGTGTTAAGTACTATAAGAGGAGATGGTCCGTTCTGTCTCCTGATTCATTTCGACCTAGGTTAAATAAAAAACCGTTGACCCAATTCATCTGGAGGAATTTTCCTTGGGGTCTCTTGCCGGCAGATTTTGCTTTCTCAGTTATATACTCTCATTTCTATTGCAAACAAACCGCCTCCGGTCCATAGTTCACACTCGTTGATATCAATGCAGGTCCGTCCATCATCAGCTGAAATTCAAAGTCAATGTTCCGGTTGAGTAGGCCTGCTCAACGGTACATTCCACAAAGGGTGCACGGGCGAAGTTACTTACACTTCATATCCGGAGATGGGGAGGGCGTGGCTGCGTACTTCATTTGAACGTGGGGGCTTGTGAGACATCGCCGTGGGACAACTTAGTCATCCCTTTCTCAGCACTAAGACAGGATGACCGTTGTCTCCACTCGAAAGTAAAGGACCCACAAAAAAACGCATCACACGCCAGTTTTATATGAAGTACGCAGCCACGCCCTATCCGTGTGCGCGATATAGGGTGTACCATTGCACCTTTCCGCCCTACACACTGATGTGACCCTGCACGTAACAATGAGGGAGTCACAATCCTAGATCTGGCTCCGCCCACACGACCAATGTGGAATATCCCGTAGAAGTAAACATAATATTTTTCAGATGCTGCTCACCTACTGTATACCCTCGATCGCAAATGCATTGGTATGACCCGGGAATATTGATACATTTCTGCTCACAGTTAGCTTCTCCAGTCTCACATTCGTTGATATCTAAACGCGATAAGTGAAAGGATGATAGAATAAACTCGTGGGAGGAATAAAAGAGCGTTACTTGACGAGTATCAGTAAGAAATTCTCTGTTGTTAACCACTGATTTTTTTTGCTTCAGTACCAATGAGGATGCTAGGTTGCAACTTTTACTGACAGTATACCATTTCGAACAATTTTTTGCCGATTTTAAGGGAACAGGCACGTAAAATTTGTTGCATAATACAAATTTGATGTCCTCTATCACAATTGGGGAAATACATGCTTGCGCCGTATCAGACTCAGCTCCCTTGCACGCCCCAGCATCAAGAAGACCGTATGTCTTCAAAAGGATGCGTGAAAGCATCGTGGAAGAAGCTCGTGCCAAAGTAAGTTTTCTGTTTTTGGGCCATGAT